CCCCCCCCCCACCCGCCGTATTCACCAGACATTGCCCCTCCGATTATCACCTGTTCCGATCGATGGTACATGGGCTGGCTGAGCAGCACTTTCATTCTTATGATGATGCTAAAAAATGAGTCGACTCTTGGATAGGCTTAAAAGACTTGTCGTTTTTCCGACGTAGAATTCAAATGCTGCCAGAAAGATGGGAAAAAGTAGTGACTAACGATGGACAGTACTTTCAGTGACATGTTTTTTATGACTTTTTTTGAAACAAAGCATTACTTTTCACGAAAAATCAGCGAGAACTTATTCAAGGTCCCAATATAAAATAATATATGAAAAATCCTTAATTTTATGACAATTTTTTTATCATAGTATTACAAAAATTATAATAGTATATTGAGCACTATAAAGATAAAGTTTTATTCCTACACAAACCTTCAAACAACTATATCTTCGTGCTCGATAATAGGAAGAACATTATTTACAGTGCTGAAATGAAAAAGTATCTTTGCATTGTGTTTCGATTTACTAACATATTTCGATAGAGTCTGTACAACTGCCAATAAAGCAAACTTATTTTCAGATTGTAATAACAATATCGCTGTTTCCGCATCAGAAATGGATGAATGGAACGAGCTGATGTATTTGAAGGGTTCCGTTGCTCTTTCATCCTGTTTATTATTTTTCTTACATAACGAGCAAAAGACTTTTTAAACTATTTCTTACATCGCTATAGATCTTTGTACAATACAATAATTAAGAAGATTACAATTGTATAATTGTGATTACCTTTGAATCAGATGTTTATTGCATATTTATTTGCAAATTTGATTATAATTGTATATTTCTACTAACAGTGACTAATTAAATAACTTAATTAAAAGAACTATCGATAAATATTAAAAAAAATATGTTCGTTTAAATTTTAATACTTTCTATTCTAATTTTTAGTTTCTCTTTATCAGCATTAGAATCCTATACGAAACGAGAAATGACATTGATGTTCGAGTTTCTGATTGGCAATTAGTATTCTGATTGGGTATTCCTTTTAAAGTATAGCAATTTGCAAAGAAGCTATTCGATGAAAATTAGTTCAATATATAATGTATAAATTAATGAAAAAAAAAGATATTGGATACAAATTTTGAAAGGAAAAAAGTCTCTCTATAGTACGCTTCTATTCTATGGATGTAGTACAGAGGCGAATCACATCTACTTTCGACGATACGATTTTATCGATATTGTCAGAAAATATATGTAGTCACGTAGTCCACAAACTGAAAATGGATGTACTGGCGGTAGCGTACGGATGATTTTGAAGTCACTAGATTTATAAAGTACCGTAATTGATTTCAGAAATGTTACGACAAAATGGCCGAAG